ATATATATATACCTGACCAGAATGTCATTTGTGCAATTTGAGATATATTAAAAGAATTTTTGTGCTCTTTTCTGCTATAGCTCCTGTATATAATATAGTCAGAATTAAAAAGTAAAGTATTTTTGTAAAATCAAAATTGTAAATATATTATTAGAACATTTATTAATAGTATTAATAGTGCAATTTATCATTTAGACTGCAATTAGTTTCATTATTGATCAAGCTTTTTAGTCATATAAATTTATTAACTGAAATTACACAGATGTGTTCAGAAGTCAAAAAGCCAGATGTACGCCAGGTAGATAAAATAAGAAATAACATCTCCTTCCTTCCTCAAAAAGCAGACAGTTTTTGTTTAGGTTTATGAAAGGTCATGGAACCATAGGTGCATCTTACTTGGTCTCTTGCTTGTGCTCCAGGGCAGGGGGCTGAGGACATAACCTTCCATGTTGCCCAGCAGGGTCAGACTGAGGCCTGCACTGTATGCAACCCAGAGCAGAACCTCTCCTCTCTCTCCTGTCCGGGCAGAGCCACTTAGGGCACGGTTCATGTAAACGGCCACCAAAGCTCCCGACAGAGGCTGACGTGTCACCAGGTCCCTCACCTGGACTTTTAGTGCAAACTGCGACTCTGGAGAGAGACATAGACCCACTTTGTGATACATTTTTAAAATCATACACTTTACAATTGTATTTATATCCTTTTATTGTCTCCTAAATCAATGAAAAAATGTCTGAGCGTTAGAGTAGCTGTTAGACTAGATTAGTAGTACTAATCTGTACTAATACATCTCCACGTGTTCCATTTATATGCCAGCCGACCTCCACCACTCCCTCTCAGCAGTGCTCAGTAACCTTTCTCTTTCCATGAAAATGTAATGAGCCAAGCACAGCTGAATCGCTTACTTCAATCTCTTGGCTGAGATTCAGTTAACATGTAGCACGTTCCTCATTTTAAAAGTTGTGCTGTTATTGAGTATTGGTTTAACATCTCTACTGTAGTTTGCTGCCTTTTCAGGGTTTTATAATGGTTCAGTTATAAAAGAGCTTATTTCCCCAGAGGTCAACATTATAGCCTACTTGTGAATCCTGTTCAGACTTAGATAGTTCAGGTCACGAGAATACAGAAGTGATGCAGCACAATTGTTCATTTTTATCTACTTTTAAAAAGCATTTTCGGAGGCCTTGAAAAAAACAGTTGCCCCAAGATTCTCCCCAGTACATATGTGTCTAAACGTGTTGTTACCCTTCCACTTTCGGAAAAAAATGATTTAATAAAACAGGCCTGCCTCTTTCGATTTGCTTGCATCAGTTTAAGATAAACAATAACACAGACTGTCCATCCACCACTATCAGTTTCCTCTGGTGCAGCTAATTTCTGTAACAATGACTGACCCAAGCAGGTCCCGTTTTGTATATGTCTACAGGTTCCTGCTATCAGAGCCGAGGGGCTGAGACCTCGCCCAGGCGCGGTCGGATCGGTGGCCGCTCCTCGGATGCCATTGTCCCCGGGCGAGGAGGAGGGCAGGCCGCCGCCCTCCTCCGCTGCTCTCACCGCCCCATCCAGGCACGAAATCAGAAGCAATGACGGCAGAAAGAGCAGCAGCGGCAGCGGCAGGTGGCGTTCAGCAGCGGGCATGGCGACAGGGTCAGGCTCAAAGACATAACGAACTGCGAAAAACGAGCTAGGGAGGAGAACCAGGTCGAGTAGCTGGAGTCCTTATCACGAAGGCCTCTTTCCTTTCATGGTTTCCTCTGTTGTCAATACGAACTCAAGAGGGAAAACCCCGTGGAGAAACTCTGAGAAGGGATGGCTGGTGCTGAAGCTGGGCGTTTGTGGCCAAAGATCGTTTATGATGATGAGAGGTGTCACTCGGTGATTTAAAAAAAAAAAACCCTTTTCATCAGCATAACTTTCTACCTAAATCTTCATTAGTCATATCACACACACACACACACACACACACACACACACACACACACACACACACACACACACATATATATATATATATATTTGTTAAAAACGATCAGCCATGATGAGCGACAGAAAATGTGTGGATTTTTTTTAAATATATTTCTGGCATTGTAATTGTAAACAAGGTACCTTTAGGCATTTATATTGTGGTGGGCATGTAAATGTCATAAATAAACAGTAGCCTAAACTAAAATGTCGTTATTAGTTGCAATAAATAGCGTAGCCTACGAACGAGCCTGTGATAGCCTGCTGTACCAAGACACGGCATCAGAGTGAGAGATCGGTACGTGTTGTTTATCTTTGGTAAGACGGGAGGTGCTGTTACATCATATGGCCCTCTATCGGTCAAGGTGAACGGAGATCCATGGTTGCCGAATGTGAAAATCCACATTAAGTCCAAAAACCAATGGTGGAAAGTAACTAAGTAATTTACTCAAGTGCAGTACAATTTCACACTGTGGTGTTATTACTTATGTCAAAAATTTGAGTACTTTTTTCACTACTGCAACTAACAAGGCTGTTGCTTGAGAAACTAAGCCAGACGGTGTTAAAAGGTTTCTTCACAATACCAATTTTTCAAATATTTTAAAAGCTGGTTTATTGAGTTAAAACAGATTAATGAGACCCAAAAGTTGTTAGGTGGAAACAGATGATTCGCTGTGGCGACCCCTAACGGGAACAGCCGAAAGAAGAAGAAGAAGAATGAGACCCAAAAACTGAATTAAAAACACAGATCCTTTTAAAGCCAACGTTCTTGGTTAGACTGCTCTCTAGTGGACAAACAGGAGAACACGGCTGAAATGTCCTGAAGTACAGTATAAGTAAAATGGAAGTACTCAAATATCTCACAGATGGAAAGTATTTCAATAAATTATTTAATATCCTTTAATTGGAGTATGTTGAGGTATCACTGTAATTTTTTAAGCTTGATTTATAACATGCAAAGTAGCTCAAATAGATGCAGTGAATTAAAAGTACACTATTTTCCTCTAAAATTGTAGTGGAGTATAAGTAGCAGAAAATAGAAATACACCAGTAGAGTAATCTCATAACTGTCTATAATGTTTGTGCATCAATTCTGGGCAGAAGTTATACACAGAAATATGTTTTTCGAGCACAAAAATAATATCCATGCCCAGACTTTGTGCTCTGTCCCTTCGATGTCTAGCTCTTCACAATCCGAGTCCTGTGGATCTATGCAGATGAACCCAAATGAAACCCTCCCACTTTCCCAGAGCCACCGCCATTACCACCACAACCACCATGACCCCTCTCCCCTCTTGTCCTTTCTATTGTAAATATGTCATGAGGATGTGGGATCACAAAATGGCCAATACCCACCCACTGTTGGAGCATCACTGTATTTTCTGTTTGCCCTGTTGGTTTTTATCAGTTTTTTTTCCTGCATTGTTTCTGTTGTCTAAAACAGCGGTGTGAGTTGATGAGTGGGACAAAGTTGTATGTTAAAAAGATGAAATAAATAGGTAATATACAAAAAATGAAGCCTGAAAAAGGGTTGAAATACAGAGAAAAGTTTTGATGAAGTTGTCATATTGTTATACTAGAGATGCTTTAATTTGCTAATTTACTTTTAAATTTTTTTTTATAAAAGACTCCAATGAAATTATTTATAAAATGTGTCCCACGAGTCATGATCTTTTTTGGACATAAAACAAATATATTTATTAAGATTTTGTCCAAAGGAAAATAAATATAATGTTAAACATTACTGGTGTTTGTATGGGTTTTTTCATTGTCTATGATGATCATAGGTATGCATATATAATGTTACTTTTCATGACGGTAATAATTTTGTAGTCTTTTTTATGTGTAACATATGACCCTTTGGGAGATCTATTACTTTTTCAATATATTTCTAACCTATAATATTTGTATCTCCAGATTATTTTAATTTAATATAGGCTATATACAACACCAGTACTACGTCAGTGCTGTGGTGCTACTTTGAAACATTTCCGATGTTGTGTCTGTCATCTTGAGGAACGAATGCGCTGGGAGCTGTGTGCCACGGACAGTTTGTACGGATGGACTGACAGATACATTGTTGGGTGTAAAGTAGACATTTGGAGGGCTTTTTGTGGTGTTAACCGTTTAAAATCTTTTTGTTTATGAACTGACAGGAACAGCAATTGTGTTGCTGTGGATCCAGCGAGTTACGCTGTGACACGAGCCCGAATTTAACCGCTAATTGTTTACAATTCGGCAAATCAAGTCTCTTAATTCACTATTAGCAGCTCCTGTTTCCCAGGGGTGGTAGGCTACAAGTACACAAACTCAGCAATCAAGTGAAATTCAAGAGACTTGTCTAAAAAGTACTCCACTACAGGTTCCATTTCAGATTCTTAAGTCAAAATGATGATGATGATCTAAAGTGTATCCTACTTCAAGTACAAAACTCCACTAAGAAAACAATGTCTCTTAACACATTGTTAATCCATAATAATACGTCATCATTTATTATGTAAATATATTTTGCGTTACAAGTGTGAATTAGCAAAGTAACTGAAACTGTCAATTAAAAGTACTGAATAAAGAGTAATGTATTTTACTCTAAATTGCAGAGTGGTAAAAGTAGCAGAAAATAGAACTACTTCTGTAAAGTAAAGTACCTGAAAATTGTCCTTAAGTACTTGAGTGACTGTCCTTACTGATCCACGTACTGTAGTGACAAGGTTTAAATCAGGTTAAAACTCAAAGAAAATGGGACTTCACAGCAACTAAGTACATTTACTCAACTACTGTGCTTAAGCACCCTTTTGAGGTATTTGCATTTTAGTTAATGGTTTCTATTTTGTGCTCCTTCATACTTTGACTTCACTTTTATTTAAGTAATTTTTAAATGTAGGACTTTTACTTGTAAGAGAATATTTTCATATTGTGGTATTGTTATTTTTACTTATGTAAACGATCGCAGTACTTCTGATCTCGGGTCAGCTGCCTCTCTCGTTGTTGCCGCACTTCGAGCTCTGGACAATAAATCTCAGCATTTGAGGTACAATGAATAATTATGGATGCAATTCACAGTCAGTGTACATTAATGACATGATACTATAATATTTTCATGTTTAACACAGCATTCTAAAAATTAAGACAGGAGTTGGAGCAATTCTTTTGCTTCTCCACTGTACTGATGTTGTCTGCATTCACATGCATATTTTGCACTGCTCTGGCTGTGTTGCCATTATCCAGGACCAGCCTTCACCTCACAGTTTTGCTGGGCTGTTTTTTTTTTCCCACATAATCCCACAATATCTGGAATCAATATCTGTCATCCGAGTATGCAGTGGAGTCACAGAGACAACTCAGCTCAACTGAACTGCGCAGCTGATGCATGGTGCCCGTTTTCAAAAAGTTATTTAACCCTTCCACCTTCCTCGGGCAAAAATGTCCATTTTTGTCACTGTTTTTTTTTTTTTTTTTTGTTTGGCAATCATTTTGTCTGTTTTCCACCTAACAGGCAGGGACACGTGCAGGTTTTCAGAGACATATGGAGGCATCCTAAGCAGCTTCTCTAAAAGCATCAGTATCCCCACACACATTTTGGTTGATAGTCACAAGATGTTCATTCTGATTGGCCCCATCTGAACTGAGGCATCAGGCATCAGCGATAATTCATAATCAACCATTAAAACTATTCAACCCCCCCCCCACACACACACACACACACCCAGAGAGAAAGTCACTTTCGGCTTTTCCCTTTTAGGGGTCGCCACAGCGAATCGTCACACTGACGACTCGCACGTTGACATTTGGCACGTGTTTTACGCTGGATGCCCTTCCTGACGCAACCTGGATTCGAACCCGGATCTTAACCACTAGCCTACCAGGGACCCACATATACACCTACACACACAAAAATATAACTCTTGGGGCCCCCTGGTAGTCACACTGTTCCATAATATGACAAGGCAAAAACATAAAAATTTCATGCATCAAACTACAATGCAAAAAAGGTATAAACTGGTGAAATACAATAAAAATGTCAAATACCACTACATTTCTTCAAAATGAAATGCTGCCATTACAGAATGCATGGTTTATAGTGTAATGGCTGTGACATTAAAAAATGTGGTTTCAATGGAAGTTAAGGAGACATTTTTGGCCACAAAGGTGTCAGGAGGGAGCATCTGGCACTACATAAAACATACTAATGCAATCAAATCAATTTTGTTGCTAATCTTTGGCATATCAAAAAGTCAAATAACCACCGAAATCCCACTATTTATTATATGGAAAATAATTCATTTTTTGTGAATTTATGAAATACAGTATAATGACAATGGATATCACATGTTATAGCAGTACTCTAGTAAATGAACAATCACAGTAAGTTGAGCAATGAACAATAATCACCTACCTTTATTGAAGTTAATTTTACCCAGCATATATGTAGCTATAGATATAGTTCAAAGTTCAAGTTCAAAGTGTTTATTTTGTCATATGCACAGTTAGGAAACGTGTTTCCCTGTACAATGAAATTCTTACTTTGCCGTCCACCTGAATGCCACAAAACACAAATGAAATATAAAGTAGATAAATAAGTAAATAAGTAACAGATCTAAGACACTTTAAGCAGCAACAGATGCAGCAATATAATAAAAAATATATAAGAATATAACAGAATGTATGCTGCATGGGAGCAGCATGTGCATCAGTCAACAATCATTGTGCAATTATGTATGTGCAAACAGAATGTAAACAGTACATCACGTATTTCCTGGTAAACTCAGCTGTTTAGGAGTCTGATGGCAGAGGGAAAGAAAAAGTTTTTCAGTCTAATGGTCCTACATTTCACACTTCTGAACCTCCGGCCAGAGGACAGAGAAGTGAACAGTCCATGCTGGGGGTGGGTGGGGTCTTTGAGGATGGAGGCAGCCTTCCTACACACCCTGCAGTGGTAAATGCTCTGCAGAGAGGGCAGTGGAGTCCTGGTGATCTTCTCCACAGTCTTTACCACTCTCTGCAGGCGCTTGCGGTCCATAGCAG